TCCATGGTGCTAGAATTATGTTGGCAGTGAATCGTGCAACAACAAAAAAAAAAACTGGCTTGTGGTCCAACGAATAATTAACAACCTGTGTAAAACTCAGCATACAGCATACCCAAACTATACAGACAACTTCAGCCTACCTGTTTTCTGCCAGCAGCCTTGCAGATGCCATTCCTTTTGAGATCGTTTCCATCACAGACGAGCAATAAGAAACGCGTTGTAGGTTTCTGCTCAAGCTGAGCCTGCCGCCTGGTTACAGGAAACTGCAAATAGCAGCAGATAATATAGCCCGTTATTGGAACATGTTTGAGTTACTGACGCACACGGCGCGCCCCCCCCCTCCTTCTCCACCTCCTCCTCCTCCTACTCCAAAACAGTGGAGCGCATGGAGCATCAGCAGTGACTAAATGAGCATAACTGTAGAAAGCCAAGGGAGGCGAGGCTCATTTGAAAGATGAACGTTAAGAATTCACATCTTTAACGAATACAAGTTAAAGCACCAACAGTGGCGTTTTTTTTTATAGAACGTGATCGGCTAACAATCAATTGGTAGGGCGGGTTTCCCGTTCTCTTAAACTTTGAGTTCTTGATGACCCCAATCCCTCTCGCTTTCACCGTTTTAGTGTAACTGTGGTAACCGACTCGATATGATCAATTCATAATTAGTCAGACACTGAAACGAGATGATTCCCTTTAACTGGAAAGTTACATTTAACATTTCCAGGGTTCTTCTCAGGTCACAGATAAAAGACAGTGGCCATATAACCCGATGTCTACAGGTTGGTATGAATGGCTTTGTTTTGTGGCTGACCTTTCTTGTGCCTGAGTTCAGTTTGACTCCATTCACTGTTTGGTATTGTATTTTATTATATTCTCCTTGATGCTTTATGACTTTTCTTTCAATATTCAGTTAGTCATTAAAGTCTGTTCAAAGAGACACGATTGGGGTTCTTCTGAGCTGGATGGAAAATGATAGTGTCCGGGACAGAAAATATCCTTTAATGCACTTCCACTGAAGCCCTGTCCCTCTCTTGCCTCAGGTCAGAATGACTCCAAACATAACTAAAGGTCCCTTTGTATAATACAAAGTGTATTTCTCAAATACTTCAATCGCCTGTTTCTTTAAAGATCGTCATGGGATCCAGTTTTTGAATGAAAGTAATCTAATGTTTTGTAGGCTAAGATGTGTGACGCATATTCAATAACGACAATCTTTACAGAGGATGTTTGGAAAGTCTAATCAAAGGGAGGTCAAATGTGTGATTGAAGATGTTTCTACATGGGGATTCATTACCAGGAGCCAAATGTATGATTTGTTTTGCCTGCAAAAGTCTGGTTTGTTTGTTTGCCTTTGGAGACAGCGAAAGAGAAGATGGTGAGCGGTCATTTCGAGAGAGAGATGGGTATTGTAAGTAGTAGCATGGCGCCATCTGGTGGGGATTTGTTTGCTGTTATGGACGGTCCTGCTCTATAAATATCACTTTTCAAAGAGTTCCAGAAACATTAGACTAAAAGTTTAACTACGAAGGCAAACAATGGTCATGGACTTAGGTGTAGAAAACCATGTGAGCAAGTAGCCTACTGAGAAGCTCAAAGTGTTCTTCTCAGAAAGCGTACAAATGTAAAAGTCACATATTCTTGCTTTAGGCAATAACTTGCTTTTATCATACTTCGCTCATCAGCTTGTGCTCAGTGAATCCTTTGTTTTAGGTTCCTGCATTAGTTTAGGCTGAAGGTAATCATTTTCGGTTTTGTGGGGTCATGCCACACAGTCAAAAGAAAATCCACTAACGTGATTTGATGAAAGGGATCGTTGGAACTTTGCGTGTGACAAAACACCAAAAGATTACAGTTTTAGTTTTTGACAAATGTGCAATTAAAACTACCTTCTTTTATATACATGTGTTTTTCAAAGCGTTTAAAAAGCTATTTGAATTAAAACTGGGGCTTACTATTCATTATTCAAATGTTACACTGAATATACGTGACAGTATTTCTTTTTTCTTTTCCTCTGGAAAGAGTTGGCTGTAGTCTTGGGATGTTTGCATTTCTACTGATTGCGCCCTCATGGGGTAAGCTTCACCCTGAGGGTTAAGCGGCATGTGACTCGCTCAACAAAGAGGAGGGGTTGCCCGGAGAAAACTCCAAAGAAGTATTTAAGCCCTTTCAATTCAACAACTTGGGCCTTACCGACTTTGTGCATTCGTGACTACTTGCCGCCTCCGAAGGTGACAACATTGCTGTAATGTGGCAACTTACAGTCATTTATTTCGTGCTGTGTTTTGTACCCTCCTATCAACAATTCCCCCGTCTGTGTGCCACCCGGGAGGTCTTGCGCACAAAGGAGTGCTGCCCGACATGGGAGGGAGACGGTTCACCCTGCGGAGCCAGCTCGGGTCGGGGCTTCTGCAACGATGTGGAGGTGCCGGACCAGCCCGACGGACCGCAGTACCCCTTCTCCGGGTTAGACGACAGGGAGAAGTGGCCCTTGGTTTTCTACAACCGGACTTGCCAGTGCACGGGCAACTTTATGGGTTTCAGCTGCGCGGACTGTACGTTTGGCTACTTTGGGGTGAACTGCAATGAGAAGAGGGAGTCTCTGAGGAGGAACATATTTCACCTTTCCAGGGCCGAGAGGATCAGGCTTGTGTCTTACCTGAACTTGGCCAAGCAGACGATCAGCAGGGACTATGTTGTGGCCACCGGGACCTACCAGGAGATGGAGAACGGCTCCAACCCGATGTTCGCGGATGTGTCTTCGTACGACGTGTTTGTGTGGATGCATTACTATGTGTCCCGGGACGCTCTGTTGGGCGGGCCGGGCAATGTGTGGGCCGATGTGGACTTTGCCCACTGGGCGCCTGCGTTCCTCCCGTGGCACCGCGTATATCTGCTGCACTGGGAGCACGAGATCAGGAAGCTGACCGGAGACATGAGCTTCACCATCCCGTACTGGGACTGGAGGGATGCCCAGGGGTGTGACGTGTGCACGGACGAGCTGATGGGGGACCGGAGCCCCCATGATCCCAGTCTTCTCAGCCCAGGCTCGGTCTTCTCTTCTTGGAAGGTAAACACAATCAAGTAAAACTAAAAGTGGTCATCTCTTTCCTTTAGCTTTTCTTTTCTCATGACCTGAGAGGAACATTTCCCTTAAACTATTGAAGTAGGATTCAGTTGTAATGTGTTGCCTCTACACATTCAGACCTTTTACCTAAAAGATAATAAAAATAATGAGCAATTCAAATTGATATCAATGCTGGCTCACGGTATAGCCTATGAATACATAAATTCAATGTTCAGGACGTTTAAACCTTTAGCTGCTTGAGTAAAAACATGTTTTGATCAAGATGATTGTAATGAATTCACCTAACAGTACATGTAATAGCAGGGGCATTTTTAAACTCAGCGTAACCTATTTCAATTAACAAGAAATAATTTGCAACCAACAACCAACTGACTTTATTTCTGTGATTTGTTGTGGTGCCTTAATGTGCTGTAGCCTATTGCAATGTGTTGCTGTGCGCCTCCATCAACAGGTGCTGTGCTCCCGAGCAGTGGACTACAGTGACAGAGGTATGTTGTGTGATGCTCGGGGAGAAGGCCCATTGCGTCGCAACCCTGGAAACCACAACCGTAACATGGTTGAACGATTACCAACTTCAGCAGAGGTGGAGTTCACTCTCAGTCTGACCAACTATGACACAGGAGCTATGGACCGCGGCGCCAACATGAGCTTCAGAAACACTCTGGAAGGTCAGATAAGCTTGACTATAAATGCACACCCACCCACCCACACACATACACACACACACACACACACTGCTCCATCTTAAATTATATACAGTTTCTCTCCACAGCTGCTCTCACTGTGTTAAAATTCTGTCTGCCTAGTCCCTGTAATGTGCTCGGTATGTGTATACTACTCTGTATGTTGCTACTATGACTTTTTTAATGACATTTTCATGACATAATATACATTATGGGCATTTATATAACATACTATGAAGAAACATTTGTATTTGTTTTTTTTTATGTCATACAATACTATGACTCTAATGCCATTTAAAATTTAAAATTTTACAACAAAAAGCTTCTGTTGTCCTAACAACTGCTGCTGCCACCTTTGTCAATGCTAATTAAATACTTCTCATCTTCCAGGATTCGGGGATCCTCAGACCGGGTTAGGAAACAGTTCTCACATGGGCATGCATGCTGCTCTTCACGTGTTCATGAACGGAACCATGTCCTCAGTGCAGGGCTCAGCAAATGACCCCATATTCCTTCTTCACCACGCTTTTGTTGATAGGTGAGGCACACACACACACACACACACACACGCGCACGCACACACACACACACACACACACACACACACACACACGAATACACACACTTTCTATAATCTGAGTGAACTCACACACTTGCTTTGCATTGTTTTCCTTCTCTATGAAAGCATTTATGAGCAGTGGCTCAGGAGGCATAGGCCATCTCCATCACAGTATCCAGACTCTGATGCTCCCATTGGGCACAACAGCGAATACCACATGGTGCCCTTCCTGCCCCTCTACAGAAACAGAGAATTCTTCATCTCCAGCAAAGACCTGGGATATGAATATTCATATCTGCTAGATGCTAGTAAGTTCTATCTAAATGAAGCTTTTTTTTCTATTTTCTACATTGATTGGCATGAAAAGTCTGTCTGTTTTCATTCTCTCTGCATTTTCAGAAATCTATCTGTTGAATTATTTAAGCTTAAAATAAAGTGCATTAAAATTCAAAAAGATATCACTCAGATTTAGGTTGTACACTAGCTTGTTTGACTCAAGTAATCGCAAACATTTTACGTAATTTCCTGTGACCACTTCCATCTTCTTTTCCAGACCAGAGGCTAGCAGAATCCATGCGTCCTTACTTGGAGGACTTGCAGGGCGTGTGGCCCTGGCTTCTGCTTGCAGGGCTCTGTGGAGCAATTACAGCAGCGACCATAGCTGCTGCCGTCCTAACTGCAAAGCGGCGATACGGAGCGTCGCCTTGGCTGCGTGTGAACACGTGGAAAAACTTATTCGCTCTCCCAGAGAGACAGCCACTTATCTGCAGCAGTGACACGGAGGAAACCAAACACCATAACTACCAAACTACTATCTGAAGGCACAGCTAGCTCTGTGTGGTGACGCACTCATCTATGAATTTTAATGACAAAGCACTGTGAATTATACATTAACTAATTGTAATGAGTCTATAATCTTTGTTTTTGCCAATGTATTTAAACTGTATTAAAAAAGAGTAAAAAACTGTGCATGGAGAACATTTTTAAATGGGTTAAGAGATGTTAAACTTCGATCATGTTCCACCCACAACTTGTAAATTGTTGCTCACTTCAGACATAGCGTGTGCTACATTGATGCTTTCTGTCATGGAAGTCTTTCACAGTTATTCTCTATGTTTAACATGGACTTAGCTGATTACCTTCAATATAAGGCTCTGCAGTTTGTTGCGTCAGTCATGTATGCAGGCATTATGAAGAAACACATGCATCCAATTGCCATTCAGAGTCAGAAACACAAACTCTTCAGATGCCTTGGGGGACTTTCTTTTATTATCTTTGTGTGGGAGTTAAACTGAACCACATTTTAATTAACATTTAAATTGATTGATTGTTTGTGGTGTGAGCCGTGCTTCTGGAAAGAGGAAAAGGTGATAGTGTCTGCATAGATGTCAAGGTCTGAGACATCACGGCATCGGGGACGTACTTCAATATTCTAACCTTAAAGTTATGTCATAGTTTTAAAAACTGACATTTGCAAAAGTCACTGCAATTCCCAGAGATGCATGTGGATCAAAGTCTTCCCTTGAAAGGTCACACCTTCTTTAATTCCAGAGAAGTGTTTCGTTTCACCGGGTCACAACTGTTGGAAGAGTCTGGCCTGAATACCACTCTAACACAACCTGGTCTGCATATACTGTGTGAGAGAAATATCCACAGTATATATATCACCCCAGTTTTAAAGGTTCAACACAAAAGTTGATTTTTAGTAAGATAAATTGGTTCCCCGAATCATTTTACCCAGACGTCATGATGTCATTCATCCAAATTTAATTCATACATTCATAGCCTTTGAAGCATGCTGTCCAGCACAGCAGTTCTCAACCTGGACGCAAGACAATTACCGCTGGTCGCCATTATGACATTAATACATTTTCACTTTAGACTGTGGAATGGTTTTGACTTTACATTGCCTGTAGCAGTGATATATTTGCCTTTAAATATATTTTATTGAGTGTGGTTAAGAAAGGCAAAGTGTGTGTGTGTGTGCGCACACGAGTGACTTGAGGAGGGTCAGCGAGAGAAAATGTCACAAAATGCATAAAAAAATCCACAGATTGGACAACGCCTAGGGGGGGGGTCGCAAACACCAACCTGATAATTCTGGGAGGGTGCAACTCGGAAAGGTTGAGAACCACTGATCTAGCATGACCTTTCATAACACAGTAGGCCCACTTTGCTGAAAAATACATTGTATTCAATTGGCATTCTCAGATATTACAGTACATTCTCATTATAAAATTGCGCTAGGTTGCTTTGACAAGAAGCGAGGAGATACATACAGCAGTGATTGTTTAGAGACAAAACTTGTAGAAAATAAACATTAGGTATAATCAGGTAAAAAAACTAAATTAGAGCAAAAAAGGGAGGGGTAGTCGGAGAACATCTTCATTTTGTTAAGTTTAAGAGTCTCAAGGAACTGTTGCATTTCTTATAACAATTTATTCAGAATAAATCCTTATTATACAGGTGTGGACATCTTAGAGATCAAACTACATGGAGCAGCTTCATTGTCACACACACGGAAATATATATAAAAATGCAACATTCAGTCTGACGTGATAATGGTGGATGATCAATGCAATCATTTAAACAATTTATGAAATTACAGGACGGAATGAATCTTTTTTCCAAACATTGAGGACATAGAGGATGCTCACAACTGTGGTCCATAACAATAACTTGATGTAAGCAGTCCACATAAAAGGCTTTATGGGTCTGAGATTAAGCATGGTCCCACCTGACTCCTATCTTATTGTGTAGTTGTATTGCAATTAACAAGTGTTCTCATCTGACTTGATGGAAAATCTGCTAAACGTCAATGTTTACCCAGTTAATCATTCATTACTTCAGCGAAAAACTGTAATATTAGTACTTGGGAGATTTTTGAGCATTCAAACATATATAATGAATAATAAAAGAACCAAAACGTCAGCAAAATCAAAAAAGGAATGAAAGGGGAAACTCTGTAATGTTCAAGAGTAGTGGCCAAAGTTCCAAGAGAGCAATAGAGGCGACTCTTTGAAGAGGTAAGGAATAGACTGTATGGCGTTTGATTGAGCTAAAAATACACACTATGTTTGTGAGTCCTCATCATTCATCTTCATCCTCGCTGTCAGTCTCCTCTTTCTCCTGCTCCTTCTCCTTGGGCGGGGGCGGGGGAGGAAGGTCCAGACGAGCCCATGTCATGGGCTCAGACTTATTCATGGCTATCTCGATCTTGGCGGCCATCATGTTTATTATGCTTTTACTCACATCGATCACCTGCAAGGGAACGTGAGAGTGTGACAAAAACGGCTTAGTTCCTTTCCCATATAAGCTGGTCTGGAAAAACACGAGTGAGCTATGAGCAGTTTCAAGTACTGTTGAACTAGTGGTGTGTATTCAGGTTAGGGGTGGGCAATATTTTGAATATACTCAATGTATTGCGGCTCGCTCGATGTGGGATGTTTAAAATAACACCGAGTACAAATATTAATTGTCGCGCCATTTTTTTTTTAAGCTGCCAGCACGAGACTTTCTTTGGCGTCTCTCTCCCTCTCACACTCTCCTGGGCGAGTGTGTGTGGCGTATGAGCATAGGTGTGCGTACGGGGTGTGTGTGTGTGCGTGTGTGTGTTTTCATATCTGGAGGGGAAAGAGGGAACAGCGAAAGGGCCTGAAGAGAGCGAAAGAAGTGAGATCAAAACCGGGAACAAAAGCATGCATTTTTAAAGACCAATCTTACTTCAAAATGACAGTACAACACCTCAGGGTGTTTAAATTATTCTGCAAGAATGATCACGTTGTCACGATCAACGGGTTAAATCCAGCAGCTTTGTTATTTTAATGAAAAATATGAAAATATCGAGACACACGTTGTATATCGCAGCAGCCTAACAATATGGACGTATGATATAAAAGCCATATCGGCCCTAATTCAGGTGGAAATTTATTCTCTAGATACAGTTACTGTCATTTTGAATTACAACTGCAAAGACCCCTCTGAAGATCAGTAACAAATCAAATATTAAGACCATGAAAGTATGTTATACTGCAGTGTCTGGAATGCTGCTACAAAATAAATGCATGTATTAAAACCGGCTCGTAGCCAGACTGACTCAACATCAGTGTAAAAGTGATGCTCTACTTACTCCCCACAAGCTGATTTTTTGCGCAAATTCCTTCTCTCCCTCAAATATAACACGGATGTCGAGCTGAAGGGAGGAAAAGATAAATAAAACATCAGCTTGAGAAGAACACGATCCAGAACTAAGCAGTTTAGATATGCATAGAAATCACCAGACTGATATTATGCCTCACCGTCGTGCTGTTTGCCTCCACGTAGCAGAGCTCTGGGACGGCGTTCTTGGCGTAGATAGAGATGATGACCTGCGCCCCCGTCTGGTGCCAGTCGAACCGACATGGAACCACTTTCTTACCCTGCGTGGAGATTGTTTGGTTATTTGAGACACAGATTCATAATTCAGCCATTCAGTCTCTACCACAAAGCATCGTCTCCTCTCCGTGCCAGTGTTTAGAGCTGTCAGACCTACTGTATCTTTTTTCCTCCATAGATGTGTTCCGTTGGTACAGCCCTCTTGAGAGAGGAAGGTGTTAAAGTCGCAGGTTTTCCTCTTACAGCAGCTCCAGTATTTCATCCTGGAGATGCAGGAAAGATCATTCACACGCTGGATTGTTTTTTTTAGCAGTCAATAACGTGTCACTCAAGAGAAGCAGTGAAGAAGAATAACAGGAAAATACTAGTGTCACTCATCACGCTTCTCTTACAGTTTCCAGAGCATATCTGCTATTTCATGTCAATGGCGTGAAACGCAGTATTTTTCCGTATTACTAACCCTTCATGGAAGATAGGGAATCCAGAGTGGTACAAGCACACGTCCGAATCGCTTGCAGGTCCATCAAAACTCTGAAGATGACAGCAAAAGGTGCCGTTCAAAAGACTGAAGTAGATACAAATACGGCTTTATTGCATAGCACACATTTATGAGAATGAATAATGACTAATATCTTGTTCTCCTTGACTTTGGTAGAAGTTTAAAACATACCAATTTAGACTCCACCAAGACTTTAACTGATTAATCAACCGAAAACCAGGCAGCCCGTGAGAGAATATTTCATGGCTTTCAATCACATCAGTTTGAAGTGATTTACATAATTGTTTTAAATGATTTAAGTCCCACTCCAAGCTTCTACAAAACCCGCCGATGCACATTTTCTTTACAATTTATGTTCTAATCTGGGAGTTTCTGCTCCGACAGGCCCGATTAGCTCGAGCAAGAAACGTAGCTTTGCTTCCGTCTCAGAGCAAACATGGAGGAGGAGGGGGGGAAACGAGCTGCATCCGCTTAACCTCACCCACAGCATCGAGCTCTTTTGGGGCAGTATCATGAATTGTTTATGTTTTCATTTAATGACAGCTGTCATAGATTTCTCGAAATACGTCAATTGAAATTGGCTTACAAAAATCGGAGAAGAAGGCGAAACCTATTTGGCGGAATCCACAAATTCAGCATGAATTTAAAGTAAATAAATTAAAAACATTTCAGCTGCGGTTGCCAAAGCCCTACAGAGGTATGGATACAAATAGAGAATTTTTTTTTACTAATTTCAACACCATGAGAATCTATTTCAGCATGTTTTCCCAAATATACAGGCATTCACCTACTTTAGTACATCCTCCGTTTTTACAGGATGTTCCCATCTTGATCTCGTCAGTATCTTCCTCTAGAAAAGAGACAGAAATGGAGTAAAAAAAAAAAAAAAGAGAAACTGACTTGGATGTTCGGATCTAAAAAATGCATCCGCAGCTATGATGTGTTGTCCCGTCCCTGCCATCTTTAACTCAAACGCCGTGAACTCCCAGAGGCCATCCATTAATTTCCCCTGTCAACATGACCTTCCTGTCTGCTGTAACAAGAAGAGGATGGTAATGGATGGTAGACCGTCTATGATAAAGAGGTCTTAAAAAAAAAAAGAAAACAGAAACATGGAAGAGACACGGGGAAGATAACGCTCTGCTATCACCTTTCTTCTCTGCCGGATTTTCGGAAAGCTTCAGTCTCTCCAGAGCCTGCTTCAGAGAAGTAGAGACTTTATGCTGCACTCTCACCATCGGCTCATCAGCACTGCAACAGTAACAACTCCATTAGAATCAAAACATTAAGGAAGGAAGGGGCAAAATGTATTTGTTTGTAATTCATTTGTTAATTAAAAAAATAATTAAAAGGGTATTCTGTTTAGGTTTTTTTAAACTTTAAGTAAGGAATGCGTTGTCGGCAGCATCACTTCAGAATGAGGTCTGTTGTACGCAGCCAGGCTAAGAGCCTTACACTACTTGAAAGGGGTTTCACTATTCAGTAGTAATCGCTTCATCAGCCTTCTTTTGAACTCTGTTGGGAAGCATCCAGAATAAAAGACGAGAGAACGCCTCCCACGAGCCTGTGGATCCTCGGTATTCAGGCTGATTTAATACCTCGGACACTGCACCTATCCTGTTATGCATTTCATACTAAACCGCAATAACTCAGAGCAGAATGTAATATGTGGGATCATAAGGATATATCGTTTTAAACTGAACGCCCTGTTGATGTACTGAATGGAAAAAGTGTTTCCTTTTTGGCCTGTTTGTTTCCTTTAAATATGATTTGATAAAATTGTTGTATTACATATGTAATATACATTTTTTGCTTTACTTAAACAAATAATGAGAGCTTAGGGTTTTCCTCTGGTATTGATTAAAATATAAAAGAACTAACTGTCCAACCTCGGTCTGCGTATCGCCTCCTGAGGCTTCGGTGCCGAGATGATGTACTCGTTAAACTTTGGTTTTTGGTCGTCTGCGTCTTTGTTTTCTACCGATGATGTCACATCTGGTTTCACCGGCTCAGGGGGCTTCTCCTTGTTGTGGGGACCGTTAGTGCAGCCCTGCGGAGGACAAATTCACCGCGTTAGACTCTCAGACGATGAGCGCTCGGGCCGACATGGCCACAGCAAAGGTGGCAGTCGATGCCTATGAAAACAATAGACAATGGAAAGATGACCTCGGAGGATTGAAAAGTAAGGATTAAAACAGAAACTAAAACTTACAACAATGCTGAGGAAGTCGGAGAAGTCTGTAGTTCTTCTCTTGCAGCAGGACCATCCCTGGAGAAAGACACACAGACGTTAACTTTGACCAGATAACAAAGACAATGAGCTCACTGTGCTTTCTCAGGCATCTTACCTTCAATGCATCGTGGAATACTGGGACTCCTGGATGATAGGTGCAGCCATCTGTGAAAAGGAACACAACTTTGATTCATTTATAGGAAATATATGTGGTGGACCCCGTCGCCTACACCAGAATAGACCAACACGGAAACCGTTTAGAGACTTGCAGCTTTTCTGGCCTCAATAGAGACACAGAAATGTCAACTTTCAAAGTACACCATAAAATGATTTTACAGAATGATGAGTAGAGTTATAGAAAAGTAGTTTCTGAATGTGGCAGGCATTTTGAGAATCAACAAATGATCTAGAGTCATCCAAAACTGTGGCGGCCACCAGGCCCTTCTTGTTGAAACACTACAACATCACGACGTCTCGTCTTCATTTGCTTTCACATGTGGTAAATCTATCAAAAGATTTGGGTCAGCCATGTCTGATGCTGCCTCCGTGTCAAAATCGTGGAGTCAAAAGTTTGAAGTCATTTTAGAAAGATAACAGGGAAAAGTTACACTCATCTGACAATGTAGCTGCATTATTCCCAGGACTACTTGATAGCTGTATGGGCCATGTCAGTCCCCTAACAGTATTCACTGTTATCGTTTCTATTATAAATGTTTATTCTCTCTCTGAAGGCAGTAGTTAACAGGAAAGGAGTACGTAAGAAGCACTAAGATCATCCTGAACTGATCATCAGTCCAAAAGCGACATTGATAAAGAATAATTTGTGGACAGATTTAGCAAACTAAAAACACAAATGTTATGTTTTTGATCAAAAATTAGACAACAATTTCCACAACCTCCGACACAAAAACGTAAATGATCTTCATTGTGTCCTTGTGAAGTGCAACACACAAAGTACATAGCCTTATGGTCTGGATTTATGACACCCATCAGACAGTTTGACAAATCCTCATTTCAGATTTACCTCATTTGAAAAGCAGCGTGTGATTTTTTTTCAATGTCCTCTTTTTTGGAATTTATCCCTACAAGATAAATGGCCGCTGAACGAAGAAAGAAAAAGTTGGCTGGGTGTCGCCATAAATCAAGATGTTCCTTACAGTACAGAACAGCCTGAGCTATAACCCTTCTATATGCGGTTGCCTTATACACTTCCTATACACCCCTAAAAGCAATGATTATATACTCTAGTGTTATGAGAAGATGCACCCTATTTAGAAAATGGCTTTCTGTGTATTGCCAGACATATTACTTGAAGATAAAAGGAGGACATTTCTAACGAAAGGAAATAAGCGACTCACTGAGGTCTGTCACCAACTGGAACCACATTTAAATGAGTGGCTTCATATAAACAATGATTTCACGAGCGTGAATTATCACTACAATGATGTTATCCTTACACAACCGTGTAACTGAATTACCTCGTGATTAGTTAAGGTACTGCACACCTGGAGGTTCACAGCTTTTTCATTAAGAGAACAAAAAGTTAATCATTTGTAGATGTTATCAGCTAAATGTGTAAAGAATGAATTATCTTTATCTTATCTTTTTAAACATAAAACCGGACAATACACGCTATGAATGTGTGGCACACCTGTAAACACCAACTCGACCATTGCCTCAAACATGACAAAAGGCAATGAGATGGGAATAACTAGCTTTGCTCATGATGATGAGCGGCGATTCTTTGACAGATGTTTGTCAGATGTTCTGGTTACTGTGGACACTGTTCTCACTTTCACAGATTGATATTTACAGTGTGGGTTCAAATATATATTTGGGCTTTCCTCAGGCATAAGCCAGCTGTACTAAGGAAAATGACTATCTTATGATCTTATCCTACTTCTACACAATATGATCCTAGTTTTGCATCTCTGCATGCTCAGGTGCACAAGGTTTGTAATTACAAACCTACAGCTCATTGGTTCTCAATGCAGTGGTATAACTTTGCAGTATTTGTGTCTCATTCATTTCAAGTGGAACTTAACGTTGCTTGACGTATGAAAGTAGCACAAAACAAGCAATTTGATTAACGTTAGCTCATGAACACAGACGTAACGTTACTTCCCTTAAAAGCTGAACCTTACTGTTGACCGCTTACTCGGTTTCACTGGTTGAAATCAATCTTTTCGCAATACTACTCACATAATGGTTATGGGAAAAGTAGAGAAATTAGTAAAAACGTTGAAGGACTTGTTTCTGAAACTTTAAACCGGGCGTACGGTGTGTCCTGTACGGGACAATGGTCCTGCAAAGTCTAACGTTACCGTCTAACTTCACCTGCTAATCACAGGAGCTTAAAATGCTAACAACATGGTGCTAAGTCACACACGACGTCCTGAATGATCAGCTACAGCGGAGTTGGTGAATGAAGTTGTTACCGTGTTGGGTCCAGTCAGTTACAGTTGTATCAGGTTAGCTACATGGGCCCAGCAGGCCTGCTCGTCGCTGCAGAACATTCCAGATGACCATCTGAGGTTAACGTTAGCTTGCTAACACACTGGCGCGGGGCACAGCGGTAGTTCACGTTAGCTAACTAAGATACTACTCACCGTCTGGGTTCTGTTCTGGATCAAATCGCTGTCCACATCCCTTATTGTAACACAAAACGGACATGATGAAGGCTGAAATAAGTTTAACTGGTGGCCAGATGTGTGACTAACCCCTAAAAGCTCGTGTGTGTGTGTGTGTGTGTGTGAGATAGAGACCGGTAGCTGCAGACTGCTGCACACACACACTTCCGGATGTTGTCGGCTACACTCGGCAACAGTCGGAGCTTAACCAGCCCGCCTCCTCCATCCTCCTGTGAGCGCTCAGTGGTCCCACTCAACCGACAACTGATGCTGACCGCTTCCTAACTTCCACGACATGTTCTTAATACCATATCTCGGACTTAAAACCTCAAATCAGCAAGTGCCACATATCTGTTTTAACGACAGTTTTGTGTGAACTATTGCAGATAAAGTCGAAGTAGCCCACTGCACTCCAGGGTTACATTAGTTCGATGCAGGGAACTGGGGCAATAGCTTCTTAGTTTTACGAGGATCACTGCAGCCTAGTAGACAACTGCCCGTCGGGATATGTGCACATGAATTGTCCATTTCACCACCGACTTCTGCGCGATTGTTTCGTGCGTTATGCTTTGCTTTTTTTTCCCTGACTGTCGGAGAGGGGATGGAAAAGGATTTACTTTCACTGAGCTGTTTCGTGTAAAGGTAGGACACGCTCTGATGTGTGAGTGAGGTCTGTGTACAATAGAGTTAATTAAGCTATGTATTGTTGCTACAGACTGTAGGTTAACTCGTGGATTTTGCACGGAGGCGAGCTCCAATAGCATCTGCATCAACATGGGAGACGAGAAATGCACCTCTAAATCTCCCGGGACAGTCACCTTCTAGGGAATGTTAATTGTGAGTCGCTGGATTCTGACAGCCTATTTGGTGCCATTATTTATCTATACTATGTCCTACATACAGTGTAAGCGGGCAGATTTCATACAATCATTTTAAATATACATTCCACACACACACACACACACACACACACACACACACACACACACACACACACACACAGGGTGGTATTAACAATACAGTGTAAGTAAAATAATACAAATACAAGTAAAAGTCCTGCATTCAAAATTGTACTTAAAAGCAAAAACTTCAAAAGTATTGGCATCAGAATATGCTTATAAGTAAAAGTCCAGTGCGAAATGGCCAACTGGATTACAATTAGTGATACATTAATGTTTAGGCATCACTATTGTTGCAGAAGGTGTCCCTATAATGTCAGCTATTTTATTTACTGCTGGGTAGCTTATTCAATAATAATACATTATCATTTATTAGATGATATATGTTTTATCTGCAAAGTAACGAGCAAATGATGTTGTCACATGTCACATTGGTTTCCAAAATGTAGTGCAGCCGAGGTATGAAATTGCATAAAATAGAAATTATAATAGTAGAAATAGACAATAGTAATGCACAAGTACCTTAAAATTCCATTCTACTTTTACAGTACAGTACTACAGTTCTAAAGTAAATGATGAATGTAGTACTTAGCTACCACAGATGCAAACTTGTTTCAGAAAGTGTTTGCGCACCTAATTTCTTAAATATATATATTTTGAAATTGTGTCCAATGATGTTTCTCAGACCATGGCTGTCTTTTGTCCCATACATTTTTTTTCTCGTGAAAATACCGTACCCTGGTTGTCACTTGCTGAAGAATAACAAGCCCTGTGTCTCACTCTGTAACAGTGATTGCTCCTGATCCCCGGTATTTTATCTGGTGACATGATGTGTTTCACTGAGGCTGTGTAAGTGCGCTGCACTTTGATGTGGTTTGTTTAAAGATATGTCAGTTCTGCTTCTGAGCCTTTTGGGGTGCAATATTCTGTGTTTGAATGCAAACTGTTGAAGCCCAACATTGAATATGCTATCATATCCCTGTGGTGATAAGCAGTAGCCTACCCCTGAAATGTCTTTTTAACTTTTGTCTCAGTTCTCTGTCAAATTTTGAGCATGCTTGTCTTTAACAACTCACCAACTGAATCAGATCTGTTTTTCTTTGTTATTCTTTCCAAATATAGGGTGACTGGGTGATGGAATAGTGATGAAGTGTAATCGGTGGGGAAATATGCTTCCTCTCCCCAACGTTTCTCTTCTTTTCCACTGTATATGCTTCTTCTTTCTCCTCGGTTTTCCCTCAACCCATGCCCAGTTCCTGACAGAAACAAGGGCGGGACAAGTTTTGCTGCTCTTTACCCAGCCTGCCTATAATGCTTCCATCTTCGAGAACTCTGCGGCAAGAACCTATACAAGTAGTGATGTCAAAATGGGCATCATTCTAGGGCCACCTCGGTCTTTAAACATAAAATATTCTGTTGCATCTGGAGACAGTGAGGGAATCTTCCAGGCTGAGGAGTTTGTAATGGGAGATTTTAGTTTTCTCCGTATACGCACTAACGGAGGCAGTGGTGCAACATTGAACCGAGAAGTTCAGGACAATTACACACTGACGGTTAAGGCATCTGCCCATGGAGGCCTAGAGGCCTTAGCCACTGTTTATATCAAGGTGTTGGATACCAATGATCTCCGACCTCTCTTCTCCCCTACCTCCTATTCATTCATTGTCTCTGAGAGTGCCCCCTTGGGTGCCAGCATAGGACGTGTAACAGCCACAGATGCTGATGTGGGCTCCAACGGGGAGTTCTACTACTTCTTCAAGAACAGAATTGAACTCTTCGCTGTTCATCCGACCAGCGGGGTCATCACCCTGACAGGTCGGCCCAGAATGGACAAACAAGACAGATTTGAGCTGGAGGTGCAGGTGGTCGACAGAGGAATGAAACTCTATGGGAACAATGGTATCAGCAGCACCGCTAGGCTGGTCCTAACTGTGGAGCGGGTGAATGAATTTTCTCCTGTTCTCAAAGCAGTTGCTGTCGTTCCATCGTGGGCGGACAAGGACCCAGTCTATGCCATAATGACTGTGAAGGACAAAGACGAAGGGGCATCTGGGGATATAGAGTGGGTGTCCATCATCGAGGGTGACCCCCTTGAACAATTTGTTATTGATCGATCGCCTGTCGGGAATGAGTATCGGGTTAAAACATCAGAATTGTTTGACTGGGATACATTCCCCTATGGCTGCAACTTAACCTTCCAAGCTAAAGACAGGGGTATACCTCCAAAGTTTTCTAATACTCAAGTTGTTCAGTTGTTGGTTACAAAGCCAGACCCAGTGTTGGTGAATTTTGAGAAAGATGTTTATGGAGTCAAGCTGAGTGAAATAGCTCCTCCAGGCACTATTGTAGAGGTGGTGAAAATCTCCCCAGCTCCTCTGAGTGTCAATTACAGCTTCAGCAGCCCCTCAGATCAAATGCACTTTGATATAAACTCTTTGACTGGAGTTATTACGACCAAGAGGCAGCTGAAAAGGATATCACAGGATTTCATAGAGATGGAGGTGGTTGATATTATCAGTCAGCAGCAAGCAAGGGTTCAAATCACCATAGATGATGCTAATGACAACACGCCAGTGTTCAACAGGCCATTCTACGATATTGCAATCAACGAGAGCTTACCTGTAGGCACTGTTGCTCTTGTGGTGTCTGCTGTTGATGCTGATAAAGGAGAGAATGGTTATGTAACCCACACAATAAGTGGTGAACAGAATCTTCCATTTACTATAGACCAGGACACAGGGGAGGTAAGGATCACAAGAGACCTAGACTTTGAGTCATCAGATGATATCTATACTTTTGCAGTGCGGGCCTCTGATTGGGGTTCACCCTACAGAAGGGAGAGTGAAGTTAATGTCACCATTCGTCTGATCAATATAAATGACAACCAGCCTCTCTTTGAGAGAGTGTCCTGCAAGGGGATGATAAGCCGTGACTTTCCTGTCAGTCAGACTATTGTCCCCTTATCAGCTGTGGACATGGACGAACTAGGAATGGTGACCTACAAGATACTGTCTGGGAACGAGTTAGACTATTTTCACTTAAATCCAGACTCCGGGGCTTTGTCATTGAAAAGATCATTTGGAGGGGCTACTTTAAAAAGTGGGATATTCAACCTGAAAATAGTTGCAACAGATGGTGAGATGTGCTCTGATCCTACATTCGTGAATGTATCTGTGGTGAGGGGTAGGATGCCACCCATGGGGTTCAACTGCAAGGAGACCAGGGTAGCCCAGCTGTTGGCAGAAAAAATGGTCTCAAAAGTGTCTGCTATGGCTAGACCAAGACCAGATGACAGCTATACAGACTTTTTCTCTACAAACCAACGCACTCCACAGTTTGAGGCCTTACCTACCAGTATTCTAGTGAGAGAAGACCTTGCTGCTGGTGCCAGTGTATTTCAGGTGAGAGCACGAGATGGCGACACAGGCTTCAATGGCCGTGTTCTCTTTTCCATATCTGATGGTAACAAAGAAAACTGCTTCAACATCAACATGGAGAACGGGTTGATAACTGTGTTGCAGCCACTTGACCGCGAGCGAATGGATCGGTACTTCCTTAATATCACCATCTACGACCAGGGCGTTCCTCAGTTGTGCAGTTGGAGACTACTGACTGTGATCATCGAGGATGCAAATGATAACGACCCCCAGTTTTATCAGGACAGCTTCTCTGCGCTTGTTGCAGAAAACGCGGCCATTGGAATTGAAGTTATTACCATGACTGCCTTTGACAGAGACATGGGTCAAAATGGACAGCTTTCCTACGTAATGCTGACCCGTGTCCCTCAGTTTGGTATTGACAGCGAAACTGGAAGTGTATTTGTTTCTGGCCACTTAGATAGAGAAACCGTCCCAATGTTCACATTGAAGATTGAAGTGAGAGACAAGGCAGAAAGAGGCACTCGTAGGTCATCAGTGACTACTCTCACTATAATAGTGGAGGATGTCAATGATTGCGCCCCAGCTTTCATCCCTGGCAGCTATAGTGCTCGAGTACTGGAGGACCTGCCTCCAGGGGCTGTGATTACGTGGGTGCAGGCTCAGGACCCAGACATGGGCCCCAGTGGACAGGTCCGATACTCCTTGATTAATGACTTCAATGGCACCTTTGAGGTAGGTGATGTCACTATTTGTATTGTCTATGCTGTTGCATATGCTAATCCTCTTTTTATTGACAGTTTATGATATGATTATGGCATTATGCTTTGTTATGCTTTGTGCAGATCGATGCTGTGAGCGGAGTTTTGAGGATTAGGAAGGAGCTGGACTTTGAGAA